AATGATGTTCTTCAAGAAAGAAACAAAACACATATGCTCACATATAAAAAAATGTTGATAATATTAAATTTGTCAATTATCAATGTTGATACGTTCTTCTTCTCTTTTCTTCTCTTTTTTTCTTACACCACATATATATTTATTTATCAAAAATGACCAGATATATGACTAAACTTTGCATTTTTTTCCAATATCGTCATATCATTATCATACACTATCCGCGCCTCATTCTGAAGTCTTTTAAAACTTCCGTCTTATTTTCTTTTTTCTGTCAAACAGCATTGGATCATATTATTCTGAAAAATGTCAAAAAATTGCATACCATTGGTTTTTCTTTTTCTCTCTCCTTTTTATTTTTAATTGATAAAGAAAAAGGACTAATATAGCGTGTTCAAAGTAATTATTAGCAAAACAATGCGAAGTGAATCAGATATTCACAACACTTTTTATTTCATTGCTCCATATCTTCAGACAATAAATGTTATGCAAATAGTACGGTAGGATGTTGCAAGATAAGAACGGTAAGAGAAGCAGTGAGAAAATTAAAATTATAAAAAATATATAATTTAAATATGTAGTACTATACTCAGGTAGATAAAAGCAAAAAAAGAGAAAAGAAGGTTAAATTATCCTACAACAGAAAACGAATAAATAACAATAATAATAATGTTTTTATTGTTCCAGTTAACGACAAGGGCTATGCTTTATTTTACTATATGATTGATCGGCAGTTATACGAGTAGCTTAAATATAATAGCTCTCAGATAGCAACATAAATAGATTGACTATGTAATAGAATTGATAATCCTCAATTTATGCTCAATTTTTTACATAACATACTGACAATAAGAACAGGGGGTATATGATTATTATTGTCCAATATATAAGATTGGTATAGATTTCAGAAAGGCAAATATTAATAATACAGATTATTATTTTTTGTTCGATCTGAAACTATTTTTTCTTTACATAAATTTTAAGTATCTCTCTTTTTGTACATCAGTTTCAAACAAGAAAGAAAAAAATCTTTAATATATGTATATACATTCAAAAATAATAGCATTGATATGTTGTCATATGAAAAGGCAAACAAAATCATTTAATCCTCTATATGTGATGGATATGAAATTATTTCAATCCTCGTACACATACACTAGATCTTTGCATGTATATCATTGAATTGCATGGCTGAAAAAAAATGGCGAAACTGCATCTGCACACTTATACAGATAATGACATGAAATAAAACGATATATAATATGATAGATATGTATAGTTATATACGATTATGTGTTCTTTTGTGTAAGTTCTCTATTTACGTGCGGGTATGAAAACGAAAAGTTCTTTATTTATTTATTTATTTGTTTGTAGTATAAAATAAATACATTCCATTTCGATGTATTTTATATATTAATGGAGTTTTGAAATATATATCGATATTACTTTCCTATAATAATCATGTTGGATAAGTACATCCTCGAAAATAAGACAATACATTTTTTATTTTATTTTTCAATATATTTCCTCGACTATCAATAGAAAACTTTATTAGTCCAAATTGTAAACAATCTCAATTTTCCTTAGATAACTGTTTTTCAAGATCATATCATTGATCCTCATAGAAAATTTTTTTACAATTTTATTCTAATTGTATTAATTGAAAACGAATTTTTTGCGATGTTTAATCTTATTCTCTATTATTTTATAAACAATCAAAATCTTTTTGGTATTGAGTATGAAACAAAATACCAACAACATATTCTCGTAATTTTTCGTCTTCGTGTGTCATGTGAAACGTTTAATATACCTATTATTTATAGCATATGACACTTGTGAATTGATATAACTTATGAGGAAATGAACGAATATTAGGTTTTTTTCAAAAATTATGATTTCGTAATAATTTAATATGTAGTAACAATAAAACTGACTGATTGCATTGGCAAACATATGTCATCATTATCAGTATCATAATAAATAGACTACTTCTATTGATCTTTCACTAGAATTTTATCGTTTTGATCTCTAATTCAATAAATCTTGTTGTTCACAGAACGAAAAACTATTTTTCACCCATCATTGGAAAAGTTCTTTATTTCAACTATCTACTGTGTGTACTGAGTGGTGCATTCATACTCTTATTGTTTATATGAATCATTGAATCATTTTCAGGTTAGTTTTGAAATTTCACATTTTTTCAAGGAAAAAGACTCATACGCCCCCCGTTGAGAAATAATATTCTTACTTGTTATTGTCAGTGAATATTTATCAGTGTTTGTTGGTTACTTCCCTCAAGTTTAAACATTAGTGACTGATTGGTTCCTACATTATACATATACCAAGTATCAGAATTGATCTTAAGTACTTTTGTAGGAGGATGGCGTCTACACTCTTTACCAGACACATATTTTTGGTATTTCAAACATGAAAGAAACCGACCGAACAGTAATTATAACATTGCCAACTCGTTCACGATTAGACAATCATTTTTAATTAGACTTTGTTATGATTAAACAGAAGTAATCTAATTGGTGTTTTTACAAAATCACGAAGTTTTCGGTAACCTTATATCTTATGATCGACCTGTTCGAACGTAATTCTAAAATCAAATATTGCCACAGTATAAAAGGTATTAGATATTTTGCTTTTTATCGGATACATGATCGTTAAATAATTCTATAATAAAATATGATTTTACAACGATATGTTAAATATGTATGTTACTGTTGGCATTTTATGTAATTGCATCTTGACAGCCAAAGATGGTTGAGTTTTCATTCATTATATTTGCTTAATTTTCTATCAAGACTAGACAAATTTAACATTTTTGAAGAGTAGTATAAAATATATCAACGTGACTACGCCACAAAAAGGGTTAAATAAATACTGTTTAAAAAAACCACTTTCAAAAAGATATCAAAAATAAAGATTTATATTTAGATATATAAATCTTTATTTTTTTCTTTAAATTTCTAATTCACTCGAGCATCTTTCAGATCTTTTCGCTGCAAGATAATGGATAAATAGAGTTTTTTATATTAAATTATAATTCTGCATTTTCTGTCTCATGGTTTCTCATGTAAACTTTGTTTCGTACAGAAACGACGACAAATTTCTTCTTTGATATAGCTTTTTTTTTTACCTGTTTGTATGTATCTACATGTATTAAAGTATATTGTTTGTAAAAGAAGAAAGATACTGTATTATTTTCAGAGAAGCTTCAGTATTTCACGATATTATGAGAAAAGTTGATTTAAATTGTTCTTGATACAATCTCAACTTTTACATTGTTCAAAAGACAATAAAGCTGTAATATTACAATCATGTCTGTCATACCAATATCATATCTGTTTTATTTCTTGTTCTATTACTCACACAACCACTTCAATGTAATACTTAGCGTTATTCGTAGATAAGAAACAACTAATTTCTGTTACTTTTGCAGTTGAGCAAACAAAGACTAACAGGTAGATGTTGAATATTTGACATCGGAATGCAAAAACATGTTTTGAGTCTAATAAATCTATTCAATGACGAAACTGAATTTTACCTATGGAAGTTAGTAATGAGTTTTGAAAACATGCCAATTATTCTCAATCGTTGACATAAAATTACAAGCACTTTCAGCATTTATTAATCATGCAGTATTGTGTTTGTTTGATAATATATTTCGTTAAATATTCCCACTTTTTAAAATACATGTCACTCTCTTAATTTTCACTTGAACGGTATTACTCTTATAAAATACGCATTTAGCAATCTTCAACACAAATTTAAAACATTTTGAAATGAGACTGTTCTAAAAAACATTTTAACAGCACCACTTGACACTCATTCATAATCCTACCACTTAAGCAACGCAATTTTTTATCGATATAGATACATACTGATGTCAAATTTTTGTATCACAATCATCGTTTACTTCTTTTATGATCTGCCTTTGAAATGTTTGCTTGACTTCATCTATTTCTTGTCAAAAGAGAAGTGTCACCTGATTGTAGCATAGTAATGTGGTACTGATACCTATCATTGTCCCGCTCTGCTTAGGTACGGGTTCGTTACGTACCGTACGTACTGTATTATTTGCATGGTAAATCATCCAATTTAACTAATATTCAAGTAGCTAGTATCGATCACAGGGATTATTTCAGATATACTTTCAATTCATTTTTGTTCTTCAATAATCAAACGATCTAATCTCATTGATCGTAGCGGTCAAGAATACAGAGTTATATAATTAACTTTAGGCTTACATTTTTTCTATTAGATCACTGTTAATGTCAGTGCTAGCGACAAAAATGGGGTGATTATATTCTTTGAAAGCTAAAATCATGAATGATCATGGTCAAAAAGAAAAAGTGCTACAATGAGTGGACATTTGACGTTTAAACTACTGGTATTCAACAGATTTTGTAATGAACTCGAAAAATAACAAAAACAATATAAAAATATGATGTTCGAATTTATAGCGGATCTGTGTTGAACAATAAATTAAGGCAACATGAACTTAAAGTGGAATTCAATTATGATCATCTTGACTTTTATTCTTTCAATGTCCAAATACGGAGTGACATATTATTTGAAAAAGAAACCAAATTATTTTCGCTTTCACGACATTGTATGTTGTAACAATTTAAATCAACTTTTCTAATAATATCTTCAAATACTGGAGATTCTCTGCAATTACCCAGTATCTTTCTTCTTTAAATACAACATAGTTTAATACACGTAGATACATAAAAGAGAAACCTCATTCTTGTTACAAACAGGTAAAAAAAGGCTATATCAAAGAAATTTGTCGTCGTTTCTGTACGAAACAAAATTTACATGAGAAATTATAAGACAAAAATTAATATGTATAATAGCGTGAACCAGAAAATCACACAAAAGTAACCTTAATAATACTGCGCTGTATTAATGTAAATAGCGTTCTACAAGTGAAATGGCAGGAAAACTGTAGAAAACATGACATGAAAAAAATTATTCATCCGTTGCTGTATTTAAACAAACATGCGACGACGTCGATTGTTATTCGCGGACTAGAACACAGAAGAAACAAAATGTTAAAACACAACAGTTACGCGAAGATACAGAATGGCTGCTAGGAGTCTAATAAACTAAAAAGACTGGTACATCAATTTGGCTGAATTCTTCTAATTTAGCCCTATTTTGCTCTTATTGATTTATCCTTTTGACTGCAAGAAGCTTAATAAACTTAGGAATTGACGCTACATTAGCGTTTGTTAACATGATTTGAAGTTATAGAACTCAGGAAACGTGTAAAATCAACACAAGAAAAACTAGATCTACACGGAAAAAATCACAACTACTCACTGCACTAGCTGATTTTCGTCCCAACGATGATCTAAATAGATAAGCAAAGGAATCAATAGTAGAATGTGTACCAGAACAAACGTAAATCATGCCACTAGTGAAAATATGAGCCTGATACTTTAAAATTGAGAATGAAAAGTGGAAATTATCTCATCAAAAACTCTTAAAGAAAATTCATTGCTTACAAATGCTCCCTTTTTAAGAGGATTTCTCTCATTTAGCGTTAGTCAGGACTAAGTGACAAACCTTTTGGTGATGGCTCCATTTTTGCGATTACGCGAAATAATATGTGCCTAAACAAAATAGAAGAAACAACAATGAGGAACACTTTTAAGTAAGATAAACATACCAATGTTTCTGGTTGTTGCAAAAATTTCTGTCGTTGTAATTTGATTTTTGGCATTGATGCTAATGTTTTTTGTGCACGATTTAATGCTCGTTGTGCTGCTACCATGCGTCGACGTAATGCTCCTACATTTTGAGCTCCAGTTTTATTTCCACCTTCAATGAAATAATAATATACTTGTTTAAAATAAGTACGTAAAAATTTTTCCATATATAATAACCTTGATTGCGATTTGTTAACGAATTTCTTGACCGTAACTGTTGTTGTTGTGCTTGTTGTCTCGGAGGTGAAGTTGTATCACGTCGAAGAGGGTTAAACTGAATAAAGATAAGAGCTGCAAATCGATTTTTTCGAAATAACAACAAGAAATGCGATGATCATGATGGTTCTCTGCACTTTTTTTTAGCAAAAAACAGAACATTTCAGCCCATTTATCGTAATCTTGTATGTTACCATGACTTTTTGATTCATATTCATATTTCGGTACAGATGCGTAAACATTTATAAGAATCAACAACAATTCTTTCTTTTCGCAGCGGTAAATTGGTTTATTTGTGCTCTGGAGACTTATTTACGTATATGGTATCAATAATGGAAGCATATACTATGTAGTACGAAGAGGGTTTTTTATTTGCTTTAATTCGTATGGAATATATAGGAAAATTCCAAATTTTGGTTTACCGTTGCTGAGGGATTTGATCGATAGCCTCGTCTTGATGGTCGTCGATTATTGTTACTACCACGATAAGTGTTTGAATTTTGTTGATAGCTGAAGAAGGAAACAAAAAAGATCAACAACTCTAGTCAAGTTCTTAAAAGTACTGTCGCTGGTTTACGCTATCTGGAAAAAACTACAAAAAAATGGTGGTGATTGAAGCCAACAACTCAGATCAGACAGAATTTTCCTTCATATTCATTTTCTGTCGATTTGATTAAACAACCGTTTTTATTCTTACATACTTTGAGGAGCGGTTATTTCTATTGAGGGTATATCCACCTCTTCCACGATAAGTATTTCCTCGACTTATGCCTCTATTGTATGATTTTGTAACACGTCCACGAGCAGTAGTACCACGTCTATTTTGAAAGGTACCGCCACGCCGTTGTTGTCTTTGAACTGGATTTCTGGCGCCTCTTCCTCGACCACGATTATTGTTTTGTCTGCGATTATCTTTTATTATATCGTCTAAACACAAAGATTATTTAACAGACGTTTCAGAGCTGCCAGAGACATTCTTGGCTCGTCTCGTTTTATCACTTACCTAAAGCCATATCGAGTTTTTGTTCGTTTGAAGCCATCTGGTATCGATTACAAGTAACAAATTAGTAGGAAAAATAGGTACTGTAGAGTGTAGCTGAACTAATCTTACAAGAAACAACAGCAATAAAGATTACTTTGCTATTACTAAGCTATTACGGTTGAGTAAACAGAAGGAAGTAAAAACCATGTGATATAATTCTTTGACAATGAAGAAATTACAAACTCATCTCTGAATGACTTAATGATGAAGAGGAGAAATTGAAGATGGACGATAAATGAGCCATTATAAGTCATACCTGCCTGCTGGGATTTTTCTATTGTTCTTTTTAACCGATCAAATTGACTGAAAAACCTCTCGGATAGCTCAAGTCGGAAATTTTCACCGTTTGATGAAGATAAATTGTCCGTATCAAAAGATTTCACAAGAAAAATATAAACACCTAAAACAAATTATATCTGTTCTTAACAGCAGATGGCACCACTTTAACGAATAGGTGAGAGGTCAGAGCTTTCTCTATTTCTTAATGTGCGGAGTAGGGTTGTTATTTGTCTTAGTCGTGAAAAACACATGGTATAAGATAATTTTTGTGTCATATTCCGCCTTTTCATTTTATGGTTCTTCTGAAAGTTTCTGTCAACGTTTTAAACGATCTTCTTATTTTTCTAAATTGAATAGGGAACATGGTAACAGTAGAAGAAATAGACACGTCAACAATGAAAGGTAAATTAGTTTTATCATCAAAACCCATGAATCTTAGAAAATAAATAGAAGGAAGGCAGGGCTTTTTCATGGGTTCTGTTAATATAAAACAATTCCGATGTGCTTTTTTTGAAGATTCCTTAGCATTTACTTTTGCATTATTTGCAGCATTGGCTTGGAGTTTTTCGGAAATTTCGAAATTTTTAATATCAAAGTTTAGAAATGGGTTACTTCGAAATAAATGTTTTTATTCGAGAGTCTTTGGCTCTGATTTTTTGACTTTACCCATCCTGATTTTATGGCTTCGGTTTTTCAGATTACTCTGCACTTTCTTATAAAGTACAGTTGAGTTAGACTTAATCAAAGATGATCGTGTATAAATCGACACGGAATTTATGACATCAATCTGTTTGTGAATTTGTTACATTAAAGGAGGTTTTATGTATTTTTATACTTTATGTTGAGGACAATGTATTCGAGAAAACTGTGAGTTTTACTTTGGAAAATGTACGACTTTTTGGCTCACTTCTGAAATGGTGTACCTAGCTTGAAGTCATGGCAGAGTTGGAACCGGTCTAAAAATAAGAGGCCGGGCCGGCCGGTTCAAAACAGCAGACCGGACTGGCCGGCCCAAAAATCGTTTTAGACCGGTGAAAAACGGCAAAAAGACCGGCCGGTTTTCAACAAATTTCGAGAACGGTGAAAAACCGACAAAAAAACCGTCATTTTCACTAGCTTTTTCATATTTCTGTTACTTGTTTATTTGAAGTTATCACTTTTCTGCACTGTCCTACTTCCAGTTTACAACAATATCAGGAACAGATTAAATAGTACCAAACAAACTGAGAATCAAACCAGAACGCGAAATATTCACACACAAAAGAAATGAAAACTTCTTATTTTTTTGGCCAATTATTATTTAAATATGCTTCTTTCAGAACTACTAACGATTCAACACATTCAGGATCTAATTGTGATCGTTGTTCAGTGACAATTTGTCCACTTGTTGAAAAATGTCTTTCAGATTCAGCTGACGATGCTTGAATAACATAAATAGATTTTGCAATTTTAGCTAAGATAGTAAGAATTTGTTGTTGTTCTCTCCAGAAAACTAAAGGGTTATTGTCTTGTGATGAGCTGTAAGTTGCTGAATTTTCATAGAGTTGTATTTGTTTTTTTATTTCGTCTTGAAATGAAACTTGTGGTTGTGTGGAAGAACCACCAGATCGATTCGTTCGCATATTGGCAAATGGATCATCTTTCTCAGTCTTAGTCTTTGATAGTGATACGGAAAACATGACGGTAATAGCTATAGCTAGAGAAGGATTTAATCCTTTTCCGTATCACTATCAATGAATGACTAAGAAACAAAAGAAGAAAATAGGCTGATTTGTTCTTATTTTAATTATAGGTTATTCTATGTTAAGTAATTTGTCTTACATTTAATGTCTGAAGAACATGTCAGTTTTCTTGAACGAAGAAGAGAAAAATGCTAAGAATTTAAAACCGGTCGATCACTGGCCGGTTTGAAAATATTTCTAGACCGGCAAAAGATCGGTGGAGACCGGCCGGTCTAAACTTTTACACCGGACCGAACCGGCACCCGCCCCGCCGGCCGGTCTGCCGGCCCGGTTCCAACTCTGAGTCATGGTGTCAAGCTTGTAAGATGGAACATGATGAAATCTCAGTTCTGAATATGACTGTACCCATAAAAAAGTAAATTCTTCGTAAAAGACAATCAGCAGGTATCGTGTGTCGCCTATTTTTACAGGGAACCGTCGGTTAACCGTGGTTCGTCGAATAACCGCCACTTGAGTGCGCTTCGCTATAAACCGTGAATTAATCGCGGTTAATCGCCGGTGTTTTTTATACCCCGGTTTGGAAAATTAATCGCCAATTCACCGCGTTGTTTCGAAGAACCGACGATTAACCGTTTCTTTTTCAATCACCGTTTCGTTTTGTGGTCACTATATGTATGAGGACAAGATGATTTATCGAAAAACTTCAGAGTTTTTCCATTACTTCTTGAAGTGTGAACAATATAAATCTGTAAACCTTTCAGATTGCGTCTAAGAGTCCCCCAAAGTAAATACGTACTGCTGAGTCCAAAATTTCACCGGTATGGGATTGTGACTAACCGACAGTTTTACTGCTATGGAACATATGAAACTTGAACATTCAAAAGACAAACCAAAAAATGTTCGGAGGAAGATTTGTACTGATACCGCTTGCCCACCAAAAAAACCGTCAATTAACCGCGGTTAACCGAACATTTTGTGCCAATTTGGGGTTAATTGCGATTAACCGGACGGTTAAAATGGGCGGGTTTTTGTCGGTTTGATAAACATGAGATAAGTAATCGTATAAGATAGTATTGTCATACAAACTCAATATCTTCGAGCAATGCTTACAGATTGTTATTACACATGGGATTATTCTTATAATATGATGTAAAAACACAAACCAAGCAAGTAATCAACCTACATTTTACAAATTGTCTTTAAATAAGGGCTTGGTTCAAATCTTGCGAATGTCAGTCAGTGTTAGTATGAAAATTTTTTTATTAAATAGAACGCTATTCCACCTTCCATATTAGAAGCAAAAAGCAACAGAACAAACTCATTCAAGTGAACATTGTTTGTTAACCCGAACAGAATTCATGATATAACGATGAGAATCATTATAGCCGTTCTTGTCAATCAGTTTTTGAATCAAGTTTAAAATTCTTTATATACTGGAAGATATGAAGACATTGAGATTCTACCCGCCAGTTTTGATTTTCATAATTTTTCATACCTATTTTCGTTGCTGGAGAACAACAATTTTTTTCTGTAATTTTAAATGACATTATGCTGGAGAAGAAGTATATGATTTTTACGAAAAAATTTTTCGTATTTATTTTAATCTAACCGTGTCATTAACAATTTTAATGTCCAAAAAAACATTAGTTAAACAAAGACAACTTGACAACAAGACAAAATCACGAATGATTGATTCACAATATCAAGAAAAATTACGTTCATGGGCCGCTAAACAATTGAAAACCAGCAATGACACGACTAAATCTTATCAACCATTAATATCAGGTGAGGACGACGATAAGTGTGAAACAAAAAGAAATCAACATTCTGTTATTTTCAAGATTCAATCGAAGACAATCAAAGTATTTTATCTGGTACAATCATTACAGAAAGTGTTGCTGAGAGTACATTTTTTGGTAATGAACAAGAAGTTGAGATGTTTATAAAGAAGAATCAATACATCAGTAACATTGATACAAATAGCAGTAATAATAATAATAATAATAGTACTCTATCAAAGAGGCAAAATCTTAACGACAATCGAAATACAAAACGAAGAAAATTTTCATATAAAAGTTTTATCAAAGCATTGGATATAAAACAAAATGGTGACTACTCACATCAAAATATTATGCATGAGCAAGATGATGAATCGATGAGAAATAAAAATCATTCAATGTATTCGTCGAAGCATAGTATAATTTATAATGATTGCATAGACCAATCACACCACATCGGTACGAGTGAAAAATAAATATACTACAGTACTTAACAACTATTTTTTTCAGACTATAATCCCAAACGTCCAAGAATATTATGTGCTGACACAGTTTTCTGCAATTCGACATTGAGAAGTGCTTTTGATGAAAATACAAGTGATATCAACGAAGAATATGATCATATAATAAAAAGTCGAATTGTTTCGGATCATCATCTCAATAACGAACATGCAACAAAACAAAATTTATTGTCAAAACCGTCATCGATAGAAACAGCTGTACAAATGATTAAACCAATCGTTGACATTATATTTACAGCATTTGAACAGCAATTAAAATCAACCAATTCAAATCAATGGATAGATAAACTGACTGAACAAACATCAATAAATGGAGAAAACGCAAAGCTACTCTTACCATCCACTGCTTCGTCAATAGCGATTTCCAAATCCAACTCTACGCGTTATAAAACAGAACAAAACAAGATAATAAATGTTAGTGGATCGTATGCAGTTTCAAATATCAATAATAGCTATCCATCTATGGAAAGACTGCCACATTATTCAAGTGGCGCACCTATAGAGATTAGCGAAACAAAAATAAATTCAAGAACAAGTAAATTTCAAATGGTTGAAGATGCTAATAGACAAATCATCATACCGGAAATACCCACTAACTTTTTTATCGTTGATACACGGTTTCCCGTTCCTTATTATCCATCAGTACCACGATTATACAATAATTACAATTATATTGTACCATCGTATTTTCACCGTTCAGCAGTGTTGCCGTACATGCAATTCCCACAGCAACATCAAACGTATAATATGAATATTAAATCAATGGCGAATGGAAATAGATTCACTGAACGAGAACACTTAACACCAATATTAATGCATATAGTGACGTTCAATATCTACTTTAATCAACAAACATCGAGAAAAATTAAAGAAAAGCAAAAAAATATCAAATTGGCAGTAAAAAGACAAAATCTTAGTGAACATTCTTTAAGAAAGATTCAATCCTATATAAGTTTGGAACAAAAATCACAATCATTAACAAATTTAAGGACCATAAACGAACTACAAACTACGCCGTTCGATCATAGTATATCTAAAGAACAATCCAAGTTGAAAAATCCATGTAAATTCAAAAGATTTCTTCCGTCTGAAAGATATGAAAATTTTTGTCAAAAACCACAAACCAAATTGTTAGCAACACTGGCCGCAGTTGTTTTATGTGCCATATATTTTCTGTGATACTGTAGTTGTTAAGTCGTTAAGAAATCTTAATCTATTATATTATTGTGGATGAATCGTTCAAACAGAGAAAATAGCCTAAAAGAATTTCTAAAAGTAATATGACTTTATATTAAAAAAATGTTGAGTTGTTGTTAGTTATGTGTGATTATGATCGTCGGTTAAATGGTTAAAGGTTAAAAATTTGCAACAGCTGCATTAATAATTAAATTCAGTTATATATCTTAGCCTTTGAACTTTTCAAGTGTCATTTTTTTTTTATTAAACTTTATTATGTAAAGAAAAAGAATACGTTTGTTTAGAACTGTCAGATGCACAATAGAGAACCCGATTGTCAAAGTCTGTGAAGGTGATCCTATCAAAGGTACATGAACGTATTTCAGATACACTTATGTCATTCAATTTTTTACTTAGAAACGACTGTTCTCAACAAAAAAATGTTTTATAACAATTTAGAAGTACCACTTTACATGACAATCAATAAAACACCCACAAAATGGTAAAATACTAAAAATTAGCGCGTATTTAGATTCGTTAAAACGATTTTGAACCGAATAATAAATTTATAAATGATTGTAAATAGAACCTTGACCATAACGCGTTAATGTATGTTCGAATGTGTGGTAAACGTATAACAATTCGTATAGACATTTTTGTTAATCCATTATTAAATATTTCTTCTTGACAATATTTTCGATCAACTTGATCGGCAACTAAACGGAGTGCATGCGCTATTTGTTTGCATGACGATGTAAATTCAGACGGCGTATTATCAAACTGAAGTGTACGACGTACTGATGAAAGATTACAGTCAGTGATAACGTCAGGTAATATTAATGACGCGGATGATGTTAGTATCTGTTGTTGTTGTTGTTGTTGAGGAGTTTGGTATTGAAAGGATGCACAGTGATTTGCTCGTAAAAATGAAATAGGTTCATAAACTGGTACCAAATATTCATAAGGTTGTCTGCAAAGTGGAGAAAATTGTTGTGGTTGTAATATTGGAGGAGATAAATTTTTTGATCGTGCAATGATACGACGCCAGTTTCGACGTTTATTACGAGGTGTTCTTGGTGATCGAGTGGTATTTGTTGAGACTGAATAAGAAACAAGAGCAGTAGTAGCCATAATTGGAAGATAGAAGATCTAAATGAGAAAACTCATTATCAGTATATCAGATCAATTAATTGCTAATTATCAGACTATCCAGAAATATGCTATCGTAAATTTTTTTATCAAGTTAATAAATCATGTGTTTACTTACATTGTATTTGAGTTAAATATCTTATTTTATCGACGATCGATCGTGAACATATATTCTATATATGTGTTTACGATAGATGGTGTGATATGATTGTTGTTACAATGTATAGTGCACACTCGTTACAGTGTTAATAGTTCGTTGATGTAGAGGTTTCGTCCGTCAACAAATATAAAATTTTGTAAGTATGGAAAGGAACAAAATAATAAGTGACCACACCGATAAGAGTTGTCTTGACAGAATGACGATCACATATTAATGTTTGTCTATTATAAAGTCTATCTGATGCCTATTAAATATTCTTTTCTCCTTTCTTTCTCTTCCTGATTTGGTTCCTTTTCTATTTTTTCTGTTTATAGGTTTATCACTATAGCAAGGTCATGATCGGCTCAATCATCATTGTCTTGCGGTCAAATTGTCAATGATTTTTTTTCTTGCCTTTCTTTTTCTCGCATTGCTACCTTTCTCTTTTCGTGATCAATGAATGTATGTAAAAGTCATGATTGGCCTTGTTCCAAGTTGACCGCTGAACTGATGAACCATCTAGCGAGTAAACTTTTTTCGCTTAGAGAACGAGAGAGAGAGACACAGTATGTACAAAGAACTAATAACGCAGAGAAATGCACTTTTTATATTGTAGGGGAAAATGAAAAAGAACAACGAAAACGTTATTGGTTAGGATGTTGCCAATTGAAAAATATAGTTCAATACATGAAACTGGCACACTTTATAGCAGGATAGTCTAAGTTTGAATGCAAATCATTTGATAGGCTAACCAACACTTCGTCCGATATAGATAAAGGTTTTTCAGCGTTATATTTGATGGTGGGAAAAACGAAAGGGTGGAAAAGCAAATAATCTATTTATTCCAAAAAAAGTACTCAATGGCATAAAATTCATAAGACTTCAAAAAAGTTTTGAAGCACAAACACTTAAAATTTCTAGAATTAACTTTGATTTATTCCTCTTCAAAAGCCAAAATTTATGTTTTCACATAATGTTTATATAGTGAGAATATATTTCCTTGGAGATTTTCTATTATTACAGTGTAACATATATATTCGAAATTTCTATATGATAATCGTTTACGGTTTTTTAATTTAATTCTATTAGAATTGGCTATATGAGACAAATTGATTATACAACCGTGTTTCATTCTATATCAATAAACTTTTAGAATTTCATATATATTGTTAAGTGTGTTCACATTCACATGTTAATATGTATGTGTGTGTATAACATAACATTATGATTTTTCATTGATTATTATCACCAATAGTGTTGCTTATCATAAATGTGATGATTAAGTTAAATTGAATTGACGTATATTCTATTCTGTTCTATTCATTGTACATTTTCAATAGGTGTATACACAACACACTCTTATACCATTCACAAGTTACATCATTTAATCTGTATTGCCAACACAAGGCTATTGTCTAAATGACTACTCAATGACACATTTTAATTTATTTTCATGTGAACGTATTTTTTCGAAAAAGGAAACCTTTCAGTTAATGTCACAATAACTCGGTTCAAAAGCATTTGACTTGACTTGTTTCATCATACAAAAACATTTTTGAAGCAAAAAAATATACAGAAATAAAACTATCAACTGTAAAAAAAATCTTTGAAAGATGAATGAAATAGTGTTGTGTACGTATGCTACGTATTTTTGTAAAACTGGATAAATTTGTATTTTGTAAATACTTATCTAGTAAGAAAAAATATCTAGGAGGAACAACTACTTCTTTGTCTATAGTTTCTTTTTTAATACGTCTGATATTTAAAACGATCAGTAACAAACGATTAGCATTTATGATCAATTACGGTGCATTGTTCCATTTTGTTATTTAGTTTTTTGAACAGAATAAAGAACTCTTTGAGTGTAGCGTTTGTTCTTTAGAAAACATGAGTTTATATTATTTAAAACTGATTCAACAGAATGAGAATCTTAGCCAACCACCTTGAATGGATTATTACTTCCAATGTTATTTTATAGAACTTTATTGTAAAAATTAAGTATCCAAATCAGTTTATTTTAAATGTTTTTATGTTTTCTTGATCTTTATTATTACTATGATTTATGTTTTTTGATTCCACTGTTCAGAATGACTTTCAATAAAGGAAAAAGAAGAAAAATGAACACTTCTCGACAAACATCAGGTTACTATATCGCTAGAGACTTGTAATGTCCTGCTGTGTTTTATTCGAATATCAGAAATACCGATCAAATGTTAAATGGTACTTTTCTTTCTCTAACTGTAAAGTGCTACTATTAATTAACTAAGTATTAGCTGACAGAAACAATTAACTTTGGAAAGCGGGATGAAGATCAAACGACTAATACACTAAATAAACACAGTGTAATCCTTCAGTGAAATATCTTGTTACCTGATATGGGCACAAGAATAAGACAAACTGTACAAAAAAGAGAGAAATTAGAGAAAACTAGAAGCCAAATTTTGTATATATTGACAAACATCACTCATAATGCTCAAAAATGTGGAAAATTAATTCTTTTAATAGAAGTTGTTCAGTTTTCTAAACACTATCATTTTTTTACTTACTAAGTCTTTCGACTATTACAAAAACTGTACGAGACGTTGTGAAGTGCACTATTGAATCAACTTGTTGAGACTAGGGAGCAGTATGTCTGACTTTTTTTTTGTACTTGTTCTATTGTTTCTATATGTATTGAATGTATGTGTTGGTTCTATTTATCTATATATTCATGATTAACACAATGATGATGATGTACAAAATTGCTATTCAATCATCTCAGTCACATAAAATATAAAGATAAAGATAAAATTTTCTATTCATTCTAATATATAAATACAGGTGCGATAGATTGTGTTAATTTGTTCAAGTGGTTACACGTGTGCGAATTGTTCATTTTTCTCTATTGTTATTTTCATATATATACACAATAAAATAAGAATCTAAATCGAATCAAGTTATTATTATTGATACTGAAAAAGAATTTAAAACACACACATATACACACACACACACACACAATATAACTGAAGTTTCTAAAGTAAATACAATTTGACTACCTATAATCTATAATACATATAAATTTTATATTTTGTCTCTATTTGTTTATAACTTAAACGGTATTCAAAATCGTTTTGTTAATATTGTTTTTGTGACCTGTTGATTTACTTTATAAATGTCATCGATCATCTTTATTAATAAAATCTGTGTTAAAATTGAATTAATTATCAATGTATAGTTAGAACTAGAGAAGAGGAGGAGAATGATCACACACCTTATCTACACATGATATGGGACATATATGTACAATAGGTATACACGATATATTTGATAGTTTCATTCACGAAAAAAAATACATGACTTCCTAAAACTAAACAAGATCCCTACCATCCATTACGTATTTCATAATAGAATAAATTCTATACCAAAAATTGTAACGATACACTGAAACTAGATCACAAGGGAAAAATCATTTTAATGTTTTGATATTCTCATATAATGATGGCACTACACAATATACTATTGTTTTTTTAAGAAAAATGACCATGATTAATGATCTTTGAGGCAACATCTTTTGTATGTTTTCCTTGATCAATGATTCATACAACTATTTGTTTGAATTTAAGGTATTAATATTGTTAATATGTATCTGATCAATAGTTTAGTAATGACCGACTATCCACTTTAAAGTTTTATTATCAATATGATATAAATGAAAACAAATCAAGTATATAAAGCAACATTGCACTTCTTTAAAAATAAATGTATATAGAAAAGAACATAAAGGCAATTAGATTCATTATTGATTAATTCGATAGAATTTTTTGCCTTGTTATCAAGTTCGCTGTAGAGTTGTTAATTAATTTTTAATTATAGATTATGATGACATCAGAAAAATTCACAGGGATTTTTGATCGTTTTCACTTGTTTTATATATAGTAAGCATTTGAAGAGGAAAACTTAAATAACGTCCTACTAGATGAATCATTCTTGTTTTTTCGTTTCTTTTCTTTCTTTTCTGTTCAAATTCTATTGTGAATTAGAATGGATTGAACGGATGAATTATATATGACTCATGTTTTCGTTCATTCTTTTCTATGAACGGTCAAAGTTCATTAAAACCTTGATGATGTCAATCAGTGTTAATAATTTAAACTATAGGATAGAATGTAGCAAGAGAAAATACTTAGACTTTAAATGTTTGACTAATGATGAATAGTAAACTTATTATGTAAAATAATCGAAGAGATAAGTTATATATAAATCACTGGAAAATAGAAGATTATATAGAATCCAGATCAGTTCAATGGAGAAAGTTTTAATTTAAAAGCTTGTTGTTAAACCAAAACCAATTATTGATTGGATTCTCCACAACCGATATACAGTAGCCTTTGATTCAAGATACTCTTTAAAAAATATTTTTCGAAACGTTTTACTAATTCATTTTTTTTCTTAAAGTTCTTGAAGCGCACTATGGAAAAAAAAGTTTTCGATTGAATTGTTATGTGAAGAGCAATAAAAGTTATTTTAAGTTATTTATAAGTAAAATATTATATTTATTCACCTGACAATTTTCAATCATCACTCGTCAAATTGATTTAAGTATCAGTTAACCTTGAACATCGTTCGTTTTGTTTATATTTCGTATAGTGTACGTGTTTTGTCTATAGACACTTCAAATGAACTTTAAAGATAATCGTTTTTTTATTATTTAACAATTATGTGACAACCTTGAAATATCATAGATAGATAGATAGTTTTTGATGATTGATCATGTCACATTACAATAAATAGGAACGTGTAATATAGTTTAGAAATTAAAAAAAAGTGATAGGCAATTTAATCAGTAGAAATATTAATTCTA